CAAATAGGCCGAGTTACTAAGGTGTACGGAGTCTCCCTGCTCCGCCCTGTGGCAGCCGCCTTCCCATCCCCGTCCAGCCCAAGCAGGCAAAGCAGCCAAAGCTCAAATTATTGTCAGGGAGCTTCAAGTCAGATGCCGGCATCAGGGGCAGCCACAGACGGGAGCAGCCAGGATGGGGAGCAGAGGCCTTGGTTTCCAGGCAGGGTGGAGGCACGGGTAAGAGAAGGCCTTTTCCGCAGCCCCCGTGTTCTGGCTGCGGAGCTCTCAGCCGCCTTCCAGCCGTGGGGCATTGGGAACACCCTGACTCTTGTGCCTATAGGCTGGTTCTGCCAGGTGAGCTACCCTCTGCCCACACCTACCCTACTTTAGAGCAGCCCAGCCTGGAAAGCTTCAGACACAAACTCAACCACAGTTAGTGACTGTTCCCAATGGCTTCACTGTGTTGATAGGAAAACCAGGGGCCAGGTGGGGGGAGGGAAGAGGGCAAGCAGCGCTGCCCTGGGATTAGAAAACCGGGCTCCTGTCTGTGCTGGTGCAGGCTTCTGTCTTTGGCACGTAATGGAAACTACCTGAGGAGTTGTCCGGTCCAGTTTTGTTTTCTATGCTCATCAGGGTGAAACTGGATTTGACCTGGATACAAGCCTTTGCGAGTGCATTAAACTGGTTTATCAACATTTCCTGAGCTTCTATGGGCCAGGCTCTGTGCTGTGTGTGAAAGTTGACAAAAAGATTGACTTTCTGCTTTCAAGAGCCTCAACTTACACTTCTGTGTGATTATTGTTATTCATTGGTTGTTTGCATATTTGTTCATTCATTCAACAAACATTACTGAACATGCCCTTGGTGTCAGGCACTGCGCTAGATTCTGGGAATACAGCATTATTAAAGTCTGCCTTTATGGAAATTATAATCTGGGGGGGAGGGGTAGATGAACAATAAACAAATACATGTACACAGTAGTGTGCAGGTATAGATGTTTATCAACAGGTTTTCTAGAGAAGAGAGTGAGAGAGAAAAAGAGAACCATAATTTATTATTTTATTGATGTAAATACTCTCCCCACGGCTAATGTCAGGCTACCGCCACATAGCATCACTGAACGCCGATTTGGGAGAGATGCCCACTGTTGGCTCTTGCAAGTTTCTGTGACTGGCTCCGCACAGCAGTGCAGACACTGGCAGATGACAAGTGCTTTGGGAGGAAAGAAGCAGCTGGAGGGGAGGGACAGTGCAGAGGAATGCAATTCAGATAGGCTGGTCATGGCAGGCTTTTCTGAGGAGAGGAGATTTGAACAGAGACCTGGATGAACGAAGGAAACTAGTCATTTAGTGAATATTTAGAAAATGAGCATCTAGGGCAGAGAGCACAGCTTGTGCAAAGGCCCTGAGTGCTTGGCCTGCATGGGGAATGACAGGAAGGCCAGTCTGCAGTGAGCACAGGATTTATGGGAGCACACAGAAGGGGTGTGGAGGGAGTAGCAGTGGGAGGGAAGAGTTGGGACAAGCTTCCTGGAGAAGGTGATGTTTGAAGGGAACTTTGAAATGTGAATAAGGGTTACCAGAAAGGTGGGAATTTGGGGCAGGAAGTGGAAGGAGAAGGGAGAAAGAGCGGTGTGGACTAAAGGGTGGGACGGAATCGCATGGCAGGGGTGTCAGGAGTATGTGGCCAGCCAAGGCTGCACAGGTATGTGAGAGCCACATCATGAAGGGCCTTGGGCACTAGTGACAGACAGTCCAGGTGCCAGACATGTGAGTGAAAAGCCACTTTGGACATCCAGCCTAGTCGGGCCTTCAGCTGACTCCAGCCCCAGCCACCGTCTGATGGTAACACGCCAAGCAGGAGCCCCCAGCCGAACCCAGTCAGCACAGAACCCTGAGAGGTAACCACAGTTGTAAGCCATTACGTTCTGGGAGGGTTTGTCATACAGGAGGTAACCAGAACATGTAGTATTGTCTGCATTTTGGATGGGGAATTGAGGCTCAGAGCGATAGAAGGACTTGTCAAAGTCCCATGGCGGTGGGTGGCAGAGCCAGAGCTAAGCCCAGGTGTGTGGACCTTTAGAACTGCTGTGCTCCCATCCCCTCCCATGCCCTGGGGTCAGAGAGGTCAGGGGTGAATACTGCCAGCCCTGTGAGTCTTCTCACCACCCCAATGGGGAAGTCCACTCAGGATGTTTATAGCAGCCCCATTCTCTGGGGAGTAAGAGAATCCTGATGCCTTGGGGTGCTCCTCGCTGGCATGTCCCCATGTTCTCCCACTGCCTTCAAGCCCTGCTCTCAGTCAGGGGCCCCCTAGGGAATGAAGACACTCAGATTGACAAAGCATCACTGGGCTCCGCATTTTACATAGTGTTCTCTCAGACCCTCCACGCAGCAAGCCCGTCAGACAGGACCTGCCACAACAGGCGGGAACCCAGCGGGGGAAGGTCCTTGCCAGACTCAAAGGGCAGGTGTTTCAGAGCCTGGATTCCTGGTTGTGTACTCTCAGTCAGCATTCCTTCCGCTGGAAAATGGGGCTAATGTTTCACAGGACAACATGGGGAGGTCATGTGGTTTGGGGAGATAACTCTCTCAGACAGGCCAGCACAGTGCCTGGTCCTGTGCTAATCCATGCTAATCCCACACCCTCCCACGCCACCCCTGCTCCGTTCCAGAGAAATTCGTGACCTGCCAAAGGGCAAGAGAAGTCCTTGAGTAGGTAAAGAATACTCGACGTTTCCTGAGCTCTCTGTAGTGCAGGCTCAGGGATTATCTACTTTAATCCTCACAAACATGCAATGAATTGGGCACTATTATTAGCTCCACTTTCCAGATGAGGAAGTCAAGGTTCAGACAGTGAAGTACCTCACCTAAGACCACACAGGCGTCAGTGATGGATCCAGAACCGAAACCCGGGTCTATGTGTCTCTGAATTCTATGCTTACACTGTAAAGGCTGCCATGCCCCCGGAACTGGGACTCCCATGCCAAGTGTATGCCTGGCAGGCTGCCTGATGGAGCAGGACGGGGCAGGCTGTTTAATGAAGGGACCGACCTGGGGAAGGAATGAGGTCACATTCCAGAAGGCTGAGACAAGGCAATCCACGCATCACTTCCAAAGACTGCCTCTCTTGGGAAAAAACCAGCAGGGTTGGATACTTGTGTCAAATAAGAAAACTAGGGATATCAAAATGAAGCAAAGGACTCAACTTCCAGAGCCATAGGCCTAAAGGGAGCCAGCCACCTACACTCCTGGGAGGCTGGGCCTGGAGGCACAAGTCATGGGCATCACCCTCCCAGGGCTCCTGTGCCTCCTGCCTCCTTCCAACTTCCACCCTAAACTCTGGAGAATCTGCAGGCATTTCCTTCAGGGTTCATCCTTCTGTGTGTGTACCTTAAGCACTTACCACATTATTAATTCGTTCACTGACTTTAGACATTTTTTGAGCACCTACTTTGCTGCAGGCACTGTGCTGGGAGCAGTGAACATGATGTGTTCATTACCCCCTTGGGCCTTAAAATTCAGCGAGGAAGCCGGACATTAAACTAGAAGTGAAATCATGACAGGTGAAGGACCCAGTGCTGTAGAAACTAGCTCCTTTCTTTTCTTCCTTCCCTCCTCTGTCCCTCTCTTCCTCCCGCAAGTACTTATTAAGCACCTACTATGTGCCAAGCTGGGTCTCTGAGCTAGGGATAAAACAGAGAAAAAGAGAGTTAAGATTCCTGCCCTCTGGGACCTTACATTCCAGTGATAACTGGGGAATTTGATCCAGGATAGGAAAACTGTACAAGCCTTACCGAGAAATTTGCATTTTATCTGGTTGTTGAAAGCAAACCTAATATTGACTTTAGGCAAGGGAGTGGTCTGGGCAGGCTTGTGTCTCAGAAAAATCACATCGGAAAGCAATACAGAGAATGAGTGGAAGGGGGTAAGGCTGTAGCAGGGAAGTCAGAGTGGAGGCTGCTGGGATACCATGGAGGAGTTGTGCTGGTGCCCTGGACCATGAGGGGGTGATGAGAAGGAAAGAGGGCCCCACAGCTCACACCACCCCGGACTAGCCAGTGACATGGCACCTGGGCTAGTGACAGAGCAGCCCCTCTGCAGAGGAAATGGACACATCTATTTAGTGGGTATGGAGAGAAACAACACATATATTGTTAAAAATTGCATGCTCATGGTTGGTTTCCTTGCTGATGAAACTTGGGACTCTGCAACAGAAGCCAGGAGCCCTCCAGAACGGCAGATGCTTGTGAACCACAGGCTGGCTCCAGATGTGATTATTCCGGTTGTGGCTCATACGGCAATCTTGGTGGACCTGTTGTTACCACACAAGTAACTATTCCCAAAGATTTGGCTGGATTTGTTATTGGCAAAGTTGGTCAGCGATTAAACAGATTCTTCCCGCATCAGGATCTTCGATAAAAACCGATGAGCCTTGAGAGGGTCCAAAGAGCAATCAGATGGTTTCCACTACAGGAACACAGGACTAGATACAGGATGCACGGTATTTGCTGCAGAACTCTGTGAAGCGGTATTCTGGAAAGTTTTCTAAGAACCGAAGGAATTTCACTTTCTTTCAATCTGCTTCTGTGTAGAAAGCCACCATTCCTCTGCTTCCTAGGCGTTCTGCATTTGAGGTGTAGTGGAATCTTTGTTGTTCCCCGGGTGTAATGTTTTAGTTCCTTACAAACAGGGTCGGGGGAGGGTGTGCAAAATCTAACATTGAAATTTTGAAACAGCAGCCAAACAAGTGAATTTTAATTTTCGTTCATTGTGGGTGGTAAAAAAAAGGAAAACCCCTGTGTAATTATTGTGAACACTTGGCTTTGTGGTCACTGTAACACTTGGGGTGGGTGCAGGGAGCAAAGAGTCCACATGTCCCTGGCATCCATTCAGAGTGGTATGTGGAATGTAATGCTCTTTCGTAAGAAACATTTTTATGATTTTTAAAATAAATCCAGTGAACCTCTTGTAAAGAAATACAGTACTCTTAATTTATGGGGGATAAAAAAAGCATGCCCATTCTTTATGTTTATTACACATACTAAAGATAACATTTGAAATCATCTTTTATTTTACAATTTCTCCATCACTTACAGCTGGACAGCAAACTGACCCACCATGTGAGAAGTTCAGCTCCTCTGCTGTAGAGACCATATGGAGAGGCCCTGGGATTACACAGAGAGGGAGAGGCACCCAGCTGAGCCCAGCCCCCAGCTATCCCCACAGGTACAATCATGTGAGAGATGACATCCAGGGGATCCTCAGACCAGCCTAGCTGCCAGCTGAAAACCACTGAGTGACCCCAGTCAAAGCCACATGAAGCTGAAGTATCATGAGCTCTGCTTGAATTCAGGCCCCATAAACTGTGAGATATCATAAAATAATTGCATCTTCAAGCCACTAAGTTTGGGGTCATTTGTTGTACAGCAATAGATAAACAGAACAGCTCCATTTGTTAACACCTGAGGAGCATAAAAGTAGATGAGCCCTGGAACCATCTGAAAGTCTCTTCCTATGATCCCTACAGTTGCCATAGTGACTGATCTCCAACATCCATTCCACCCCAGCTGATGGGTATCAGTTTCTCGTTTCCAGGTAGCTATGAGGAGGCCCCTGGATCCTGAGGAGAGGACACTGAAGATGGCAGTAAAGAATCTTTCTTGGGTGTCTAGCCTTCTTCTCTCCCTCACTGGAGGGGAAAGAAGACACGTGTCCTGATTGCCATTGGCAGCCACCGTAGGAACGACCGGAATCAGACTCAAGGTGAGGCCAGTGCTATGGAGCAAGAGGGGAGAGGTGGAAGGAATCTTGGAACGTGGCATCACCACATCTCTGAATCAGCCAACCCCAGAGCCCACCCTACCGCTGGACGTCTGCTTTGGGAACGAATCTGTTTGCTTCTAGCTTAAGCCAGAGTATGCCATCTGTTTCCCCACTGGGACCCTAACCAATACCCTGGGTCATTTGTCTGACAGAATTTCCCTACATTCTGGGTTTGGCTGGTCATCTCTTTGGATGTCATCCCCCTTATTGCCTATTAAATGGTAGCTAGACCTAGAGGCTTATGACATTCAGATTCCAGGTTTGTTGGGGGAGGAGAGGAGGGAGGAGGCAACACTATTTCCTAGGAAGCTGCTGTATACTTCCTATAGCATCTCATTAGGAGCCACAAAGTGTCTAGTTGTCCAGCTTTTACTGATGTTAAGATTGGTCTGTGGGTTTAGGTGTTTCGGTCTTATTATCCATTATAAAGTTCCCCCTCATTTTTTCACTGAATGATATTTGCAACCATTGATGGTTGTGGACTAGATCAATTATTTCACTAAGGAGTTGCAAAACAGTAATTTTCTAATACTACCTTCTGCCCTTATTATCTGAGATTCTTCATTAAAGAAGAACTTTCTCTCATTAACCAAGGGACTGATTTAAGAAATAAACCCCAAAACAAATTACAAAGGATATGCTACAATAAATATAAGTAGAAGTTCTGATATTGTCTGGATCTGGAACAATTATCATCTGCATTCCATTTTAGAACTTTGGTTTGAGCAGAAAATGACAGTGACTGTAGCTAAGGTGATGGCCGTGGATCTAGTAGATGTGAACAGACTCAAATTGCATTTGTATATGTTAGGACTTGTCATGGGGAGGGAAGGATACTAACTCCTAGGTATCAGTTGCATAAAGTGAGAAAGACTGGATGGGGGAGGAAGACGGGGGCCAACCAAGACTTTTGTTTGAACACACAAAATACCTGTGGGGCAATAGAGAAGCCCAAGAGGCAGCTGGGGATGAGATCACAGGGGTGAGATGTGGTCTGGAGATAGATGTGTGGGAGGTGTTATCTTGGGGATGGTGTTTAAGTTCATGAGGATGGACTGGATTACTTGCAGGGAGAAGAGAACCAGTCTCTTCCATCTCCCTTACCTTTCAAATCCTGCCAAGCTTTGGTTCCATCTCACTCTGCTTTGACCCCCTCCTCTACCTCATCCCCAGTTTTGTTGTACTAGCAGCTTCTCAGTTGTTGTCTTTCCCACCTGGATGATTATAAACCTCTTCGATTGGTTTTTCCATGTTCTTGTTTTGCTCCCTATTTCCTATATGACTCCCCTGTTCTTCTAATCCACACTCCAAAATGCATGCAAATTATTTCCCCCAAAATCCTAATCTAATCACATCAACTCAATGTTTCCATTATACTCACCTTAAATCCCAACTCTTGGCCGAGTGAAACTCTTTTTTTGGGTAGGCTTTTTGTGTTAGGCCTCCAGCTTACCTCTCTAGCTCATTCCCTTATGATATCTAGTGTGCACCTTATCGTCCGATCATATTGAACTATCTGTAAGCCCCCCAATGCTCCCTACCATCCCCTGCCTTGAGTCCTCACATTCTTCACATGTAGAACAAAATCCAGACTCCTCATCAGGGCCTGCCAGGCTCTGTCTGCACTGGCCCTGGATAGCTTTCCTACCTAATTTCTGACCTCTCTTTCTCTCTGACTCAGCTCCAGCCACTCTGACCTGGCGTTCCTTGAACTTGTCAAGAAAACTTCAGACTTGGAGCTTTTGCACTTGCTGTTTCCTCTGCCCCAAATGTTGTGCCTCTAGGTGGTCACATGTTTCAGGCTCTCATTTCAAACAGATCCCCATTCAGATGTCACCTCATTCAAAATAACCGCTGACCCCTTTCCTACCTCCCTGTATTGCCTCCTTCTGTGTCCTTACTAAACAAATACCATATGTTCTTCTATCACTATCTGATGGTATTACATATTGGTTCTGTTTTTTGTTTTTTGTTTTTTTTTTTAAATATATTTTATTGATTTTTTACAGAGAGGAAGGGAGAGAGATAGAGAGCCAGAAACATCGATGAGAGAGAAACATCGATCAGCTGCCTCCTGCACGTCTCCCACTGGGGATGTGCCCGCAACCCAGGCACACGCCCTTGACCGGAATCGACCCCGGGACCCCCCAGTCCGCAGGCCGACGCTCCATCCACTGAGCCAAACCGGCCCTGGCTGTTTTTTTTTGTTTTAACTATCTCTCTCTTCTCACTAGAAGTTCTATAAAGGCAAGGATCTCATCTGTTTCATTCACTGCTGTATCCCCATTTTAATTTAGTAGGCACCCAATCCATATTAGTTAAATGAATGAATGAATGAACACAGGAATGAATGCTACTATTCCTGTCTGTCCTTTTCCACATGGTCAACTCCCACTCATCCTAAAGGCTCAGGTTAGGCACTGACTCCTCCAGCAAGTCTTCTCTGACTGCCCGCCCAGGCTGGGCTGGGTGCCCTGTGCTTTTCTCCTGGGCTGGCCTCTGTTCCAGCACCTTCTACCTTGCACTGGGATTATGGGGAGTGCCTCCCACCCCCTCTCTATGCTTCTTGAGGGCCAGAAAATCTTATTTGTTTCTTTTTCCACTGCCTGACAGAGTAGGTGCTCAGTAAATGCTTGTGGGATGAATAAAGGAATGAATAAATGAAAGAATTATCACAGAAAATGTAAAATTTTCTGCACACAACTCTGATGTGCAAAATAACATAATTTTTTTTGGCAACAACCAATCTTACTTTGCTCTTGCAACTCCGTTCCTACTGGAGGTGGAACAGAATCCTTAAACTGCCAATTAAAGGCAACTCAGTTGGTTTTGTATTTGTGTCATCTCTTCTTGCCAAATCCAGTCGTGTTGGGGTTGATAGTTAATTTAAACTCAAGCCCTTTATGAGTACAGTGTCTCTTCTCAATCAAAAAACTTCCCCTTTCCTTCTTTCCAAAGACAGTGTCTGGGTGCAGGTGTGAGCTATGAATGAGTTTATGAATGCCCATGGCCATGGAGGTGGCAGGAAAGAGTGTACAGATGGGGTGGGATCCTGGTCCAAGAGCTCCTGTAGTTCTCAGTATACTCCAGAGGGCTTAGCTTGGTCCCTGGGCACATTGAGTGGATGTCTATTGAGGTGTCATCCACCCATTCATGGCCCCTGTTACGAAAGGCTTCATCCCCGCTTTGCCCTTTAGTTGCAAGCTCTCTGTGGCTTTTAGCTCATGATCCATCTCTGTGGCTCCAGGGATGCTCTGTTTCTCTCTCCACCCAGAGCTAAGGTGCAGCCTCTCCGACGTTGCCTTAGGTACCTCCTTAGCTATCACTGCTTAGATAGCCATGATGTGCTGGACATGATGCCATGCCGAACCTGGGATTTGGGATTTCCCAGAGCTAGACCTTGAGAAGCAAGGAGCATTGACCTCAAGCCCTGCACAGTTGTCCCCAAATCACTCTCACAGAACAGCTCCTCCTGCAGAGAGTTCAGCTCTCGGCGTTCACTGATACAGACTCAGATGCCAGAGAGCTTTCTACCACTCATGCTTGTCTAGACAGATATCCCTTTATTCCTTATCTTCTTTCTTTTGACTCCATGGCCTTTAATGTTCTAGGTGGTTTCCTTTCTTATCTTACTTGGGAAATAAGCACCACAGCCCAATCACATGGTGTAAGGATGAGGGAGATTCAAGAGAAAGGAAATGGCACCAGAGATACTCTACTCAGATGATGGATGGATGGATGGATGGATGGATGGATGGATGGATGGATAAAAGTATGCATGTATGTATATTAGATGACTTGTTCCATATCATCAGGTACCCATGTGGAGAATCCAGACCTCCAAGCCAGATGTTCTGACCACTCTTTCCATTATGTCTTTTGGATTGAAAATCTAGTTCCTTAACTTCCCAACTCTCCCAAATGCCATTCACCCTGGAAAACTTTCTCAGAGGGTAATTATGTGCCTTGGAACTCTAAGTTGTTCAGATGTGAGGATACATTTTCCGAGGTGCACAGAGCAGTAATTTGTCCTGTGGGTTTCCCAGTACCCAGTAGTCTGTCCAGCGAGTTAATGAAAAGCCATATTGCAATTATGGGAAATGACAAGGCAACAGCTTGACCAGAGTCTCACTGTGGCAATCTATTTTATTTTGTTCCCTACATCTTTGCCCAAAGGTCTGTTTTTGTACTTAAATCAATTCCCTCTCCTCTGAAATCTTGATGCCCAAATCCAAATGCTTAATCAACATTGATGTCTTACGGCATTTCAAACTTAACATGTCCAAAATGAACTCCTGATTTCCAACCCCACCCAGTCTCCCAGTCTCCATCTAGCAATACATTCTTCCAAATCTTGAAATCGTCCATGAGTCTACTCTTTTTCTCATGCCTCGCATTACTCCATCAGCAGACCCTGTCCCCTGTATCTTTGCATTATGTCCAGAACCTGAGCTTCTCATCACCTCCAAAGCTACTACCTTTATCCAAACAACCATCACCTTTCTGCTCCCTCTGCTCCTACTCTTGCCCACTGTGTGTGTGTGTATGTGTCAGTGTGTGTGTGTGTGTGTGTGTGTGTGTGTGTGTGTGTGTCAGTATCTCTGTGTGTATGTGAGTTACTCTAACAGAGACTCAAATAAGCAGAGGCCTAATCAAGACAGGGTTTGTTTCGTTTCTATTTTTAAAAATATACTTTATTGATTTTTTACAGAGAGGAAGGGAGAGGGATAGAGAGTTAGAAACATCGATGAGAGAGAAATATCGATCAGCTGCCTCCTGCACACCCCTACTGGGGATGTGCCTGCAACCAAGGTACATGCCCTTGACCAGAATCGAACCTGGGACCCTTCAGTCCTCAGGCCAACGCTCTATCCACTGAGCCAAACTGGTTAGGGCCAGGGTTTGTTTCTCACTCATGCAGCAACCTGGGTGGAAGCTGTTCAGTGCGGCAGCCCAGTGTCAGGCTCCTTGTTTTTTGTGGCCCCACCCTCACTAGGGTATTTCCTTTGCTCACATAGACCAACAGTGCTCACCCTGTCTGCATTCTGTTCGTTTGGGAGGAAGAACTGAAGAAAGGGATCACACACCCTTTTTTTTTAAACTGCATGGCCTACAAATTCACTTGAATGCATCAGTCAAATAGCCACACCTAACTTTGCGTGCATGTGTTTGTGTGTATGTGTGGCATGAGAAAAAGCATAGAGTCATGGATGAGTCACACCTGGGAGACTCACCCCTGGGAGACTGGGAGATGCAGGCTTTGTTCTGAACAGCTCAGTGCCCAGCAAAGAGTCAGGGTTCTGTTGCTACAGAGAAAGGCTTGAGCTGTCACACATATGCCCCTGTGGTCTGTTTCCCCTGCAGCAGCCAAAGTGAACATTGTAAACAGCGACCAGAGCACGTCACTCAGTGAGTGAATAACACGATGGCACTTAGTAAATATGCGTTTGGTGCCCCAATTAATAAATCCAAAGCCACGAACACCAGACATGGAACAAGTTGTCCTAGCCCGATGGGACCTCACAGAATATTCAGCACCATGGCTTTCAAATTATTTTAGACAAAAAAAACAAAACATACAGAGTGGGGCAAGAATAGGTTTACAGTTGTGAGTACACGAAACAGAGTTTATTCTTGTATTATTATTTATTAATTGTGGTATTATTTTCCATACAAACAACTGTAAACTGCCTTTTGCCCCACCCTGGATTTAGAGCAAGGCTCATGAGGTGCTGGTATGTGAAATGGAGAAAAGCTGGCAGCTCTGGTTGAAATCTGGGGCAGCCCTGAACCCACTGGCTCTCTCTTCCCCATCTCAACCCAGACCCAGTATGAACTCTAGCTGACATCCCCGAAACTCTTTGGACCCCAGTTTAAAACAACTGAATCCAACGGAACATCTTCATTGCCCAAAGGGGGAAACTGAGGCCCAGAGAACAACAGGAATCGGTGCCTTTGTGTGGGGCCCTGACGAGTGTGCCTCACACGCATGGGCTAACTTTCCCAAAGTCGCACTGCAGGTGAGTGACAGCTGAGGTTGGAGGCCAAGGCTGCTGGTCTCCCCTCTGGGCCCTCAGCTGGAAGGATGAGAGATCTGGCCAGCAGAGGAGGGCCTGCCTCAGGCCTGGCCGCCCTCCCTGGAGCACTGGGGCACGCGCAGGCCAGAGGCGATCACAGAAGACTGCGTCTGGCAACAACTTCATGCCCACTTTCAAAATATGTAAACAGGTGTACCAGTTGATAATGTGGATTTTTTTTCAATAGATGGATTACACATATGTTGATATATATGCGTTTTGCTATGTATGCTATTTTGTTGTATTGACAGCAAGCTTCAAAACTTCATATGTCAAATTTTCTGAAGGTGTTAACATAGATATTTTTACACTTAAAAATGTTGAATTTCGTGCCAAAAAAAAAAAAGAGCATTTGCGGGAAGTTTTAATTCATTACTCTATTTTGAAGAAAAGTGCTGCTGAAGGTTATCATATACTTCAGGAAGCTTATGGTGAACATGCTCCATCTCAAGATACTTGTGAATGCTGGTTTAAACGCTTTCACGTTCTTTGTCAATGTGAAAGACAAAGAACGTCCAGGTCAACGAAAAAGTTTGAAGACCAACAATTACAAGCATTATTGGATGAAGGTGCATGTCAAACTTAAAAACAACTTGCAGAAAGATTAAACGTTGCTCAGCAAACAATTTCCGATCATTTACAAGCAATGGGAAAGATTTTAAAGGAAGGAAAATGGGTGCCACATCAGCTGAACGAAAGACAAATGGAAAACTGAAAAGTCATCAGTAAAATGTTGCTGCAACGTCACAAAAGAAAGTCTTTTTTCCATCGAATTGTGACTGGCGATGAAAAGTGGATTTATTCTGAGAATCCCAAACACACAAAATCATGGGTTGATCCAGGTCAACCATCAACATCGACTGCAAGGCCAAATCGCTTCGGAAAGAAGACAATGCTCTGCGTTTGGTGGGATCAGGAAGGTGTGGTATATTATGAGCTTCTAAAACCAGGTGAAACTGTAAATACTAATCGCTACTGACAACAAATAATCAATTTGAACCACACTTTGATCGTGAAACGACCAGAATGGGCCAGAAGACACCGCAAAGTAATTTTGCTTCATGATAACACACCATGTCACACTACAAAACCAGTTAAAGACACGTTAAAAGATCTTGCCTGGGAAGTATTAACCTACCCGCTGTATTCACCAGAACTTGCTCCTTCAGATTACCACTTGTTCCAATAGATGGCACACGCACTTTCTGAGCAGTACTTCAAAATGTACGAAGAAGTGGAAAATTGGGTCTCTGAATGGTTTGCCTAAAACAAGAAAAGTTTTATTGGGATGGTATCCACAAATTACCTGAAAGATGGGGGGAAATGGGTAGCTAGCAATGGACATTATTTTGAATAAAGCACTTTTGATGTTTCTTTTGAAATTATCATGCTTTCTTTGATTATAAAATCCTATTTATTAGCCAATACACTACACCCATGTCTCACTACCTCCAAACTGGCGGGGAGGTTTTCTTTTGCAGGAAGGGGGCCGGTGCGGAGAGTGAAAAGGGGGATCCTTGGGAGGGCACCTTACCTTGAACTCAGATAGCTCTGAGAACTTTAACTCAACTAGCTCTGAGAACTTTAATTCAACTAGCTCTGAGAACTTTGGCATGTTTCTCATTGACCGTGATAACTACCTACTCTGAGGAGTTGCTGGGAAGATCAGAATGACAGGAGGCCCACAGGCAGCAGCAGAGATGAAAGCACTGTTACCTCTGTGTGGGCAGCATGCTGGACCACACGCTTGTACCCTGCGGGGCCTCCCAGCTGGGGTGGAGACAGGACAAGAAACAGAGCCAAGAGCCCAGCTACCTGGAGGTCCCAGGGCCAAGGCAAGGAGCAGAGGCCCCTGCCTGGGGTGACAGTTGGCATATCTGCCAGCGATGGAAGGCAGAGAACCCGGGGCTTAGAAGGAACTCAGGGGTAATGTAGATGGTGTAGGACAGGGCTTCTCAATGTAAATGGACCTCCCAGTCAATGGAGATCTTGCTAAAAGGCAGATTCTGGCCTGGAGGCCTCGGGCAAACCCTGAGGCCACTGCTGGTCCTACTAACACTTTAAGTACCAGGATGCAGGTAAAAGAGGCCCCTGTGCAGGGTTCAGACCAGCCCGAATCCCAGCCTCTCCTTCACCCCAGCTGAGGGCCTCAGTCTGGGCCTCAGGCTCTTTACCTTATAAATGGGCATAATATTACCAAATGGGCACCCTGACTTCCAGCATCCAGAATTTGCCTCCCTCCCCCATGCGTGGACACACTTGGTGTAAAATGGGCCACCTGCAGAGTGGGGGAGGTGCCCTCACCCTCCACCCTCTCTCTGCTCCTTCTCCACCAGCTCCAGACCCACTCCTTTCCTCCTCTTGGCTGCTCTGTTCCATTTTGCTTTCCTCACTTCTGTTCTCTGAGAGGACTAAGGGAGACGTCTGATATTCTGGGAAGCAATTAGACCAATCCCAGTTTCCCCATTGTCCTGCCCCTCTCCCAGCCTAGGGTTTGTCCTTTATTCTCTATCACAGGACCCCAGTGCCACTTCCCTAATGACTGACCCAAGGCACTGAGAGTAGCCATAACAAACAAACAAACAAACAAACACCCAGAGAGAACCCAACCCTCCAAAGGATTGAGATAAACACACAGCCTGCTTCCTGCCTGAGATATGACAGGTCACGTCACCCAAATTCTTAACCCACACAGGTCTGACCAGTGGGGACCCACACTGGCTGTCTCATGTCTGCCCCTCTGTGACGGGGGTATTAGTATTTCCCATCGGCAGTTAGTAAACTAAGGCCATGGCTCAGAATCATACCACTGACATGTAGCAACATTCAAACCCCGACCCTGGAGTTCCAGCTCTAGAAACCAGCTTTCTGTCTTAGAGGATGCAATATGTGCTGTGGGTCATTGGTTGACTTGTTTACATGTTTTACTTGAGGCAGGAATGATATGAAATTCTGGAGGACAGATCCTGATTTGAATCTCAGCCCTGAGCTGGTGACCTTGGCCTAAATGACCTCATCTACAAAATGGAATAAAAACCATTACCTACTGCATAGGGTTGTTGTGGGGATTAGATGTGTTAATGTACTTATTCCAGGGCCCAGCATGCAATAAGCACCCACACAAATCTCAGCCGTAATCTATATTATAAAAAGCCAGTGGCCATAACACCGTAACGACCAAACGACCGGTCACCAGGAGGTGCACTGATGGGTCCCGCGGCAGCAGTGGGCAGGACTCTGGGTCTCGTGCAATTTTGAGCACTGGGCCTCTAGTTATCAATAATACAATCAAATCGAGGCTGTATCACTTCCTCAATCAGCAATCTTAGATAAGTGACTTCGTTATTATGAATCTTGGCTTCCTCTTCTGTGAAATGGGAATGATACCGACCTGCTTTGATAAGGATTGAACAATCTATCATAGACCTGCACAGTGCTTGATATAATGGAGTTGGTCATGGGGAACATATTTTTGCTCATATCTGGTGTTTCCTCCTGAGAATAAGCCAAATTAGTGTAGCCTCTATGCACCGGTCTCTCCCTGTTTTCACTCTCTCTGCCTCTGGGATGTAGGTGATTTCTCCCATGGTACGTTTGGGAGAATAACTGGGCAGGCTCAGTTCAGCTCTGCCATCTTCCCCTTGGGAACAAGCCTGCCCACGGGGAGCGCGCACGCTGCTGTGATTCTCCCTCCACAACCCTCACTGGCCACCAGGTCCCCTCACCTGGGTGGGTATCTGCCTAGTGCTATGGTTCGAACAAAGCTACATTCTCCAACAGAGCATCTATCTGTAACAAAGGTGACATTTGGCCTGTGTCTTTACTTTCGGCTTATTTGTCAAATTGTTCAGAAGTGTTATTTATTGGGACTCCTCTTGGAAGGACCCAATAAAGAAAATGTTCATTCGGTCAGTCTTTTACTTAGCCGTTATTGGAATCTACTATGTACAGGGAACGGAGCTAGAGATTAATTAATAAATGAGATAATATCTGCCTCTTAGAAGCTCACCATTTATTGTGGGGGAGACAGGCAGGTCCACGGTGACATCACCGTGTGTGAAATGCTATGGGAGAGACATTTATAGGATGTCAACAGAGCATGTAAGAGGGTGCCTAGCCCAGCCTGGAGAAACTGGAGAGACTGCCTGGAGGAGGTGATGCCTAAACTAAATTTATAAGGTGAGTATCCAGGTGTATAAAACCTATAATAAGGCAGCAGGTTTTAGTATCGTTGTGTACGTAATGCCTGTTTTCCTGCTGGACTCTGAGCTCCATAAAGACAGAAGCATGCCTGTCTGCTCATCACTTCAGGCCAAGGGCCTGACCCATAGTAGGCACTCAAATATTCATTGAAAAATAAGTGAGAAAGTCAATACATAAACAAGATAAAATGCAATTAGAAATCAGAGGGTATGGAGTAAAGGGATGGGGAGAGAAAACTGGCAGTGGGAGCTGTGGTATTTTCAGGGCCAGGAAAGAGTGGAGGATGAAGAGAGAGTCCCAGGCATCAGAGGAATGCATGACATCAACGTAGGCACTCAAATATTCATTGAAAAATAAGTGAGAAAGTCAATACATAAACAAGATAAAATGCAATTAGAAATCAGAGGGTATGGAGTAAAGGGATGGGGAGAGAAAACTGGCAGTGGGAGCTGTGGTATTTTCAGGGCCAGGAAAGAGTGGAGGATGAAGAGAGAGTCCCAGGCATCAGAGGAATGCATGACATCACTGATGTGGGGAGGGGCAGAAGACATGAGTACATCTCCAGCTGTCCTGAAGGGGCAGCTGGGAAGGAGCTCCTGGGCAGTAGGGCAGCATGGCCCCCACTTGTCCTCATCCAGCCCCCAGAGGAGGAGAACTGTGAACCTGAGAGGAAACTGAGGTTTATAATAAACAGAATTTCTCTGGTTTTACACGTTTGACAATTATTATGAAAAATTTTAAAAACAAAAGGTATGCTGTTCTAAAACACTTTATTTTTAAATAAATAGAATTGATGTTTTAAAAACAGAATTAAACTGTGCTATTGAAAAGTAAGCAGTCTGGCCAAGACGCCATTAGGGGAGATACTACCTAGTGGGAGCAGGGAATCAACATAGTGTAATTTGGAAGCACCAGTTGGAGAA